ATTCCCTTGGTGTGTTCTACTCTAGGGGTCTGTGTATGTGCCCAACACCATGCTGTTTTTGTTACTATAGCTTTGTATATATTTTGAAATCAGGTGATGTGATGCCTCCAGACTTGTTCTTTTTGCTCAACATTGCTTGGACTATTTGGGATCTTCTATGGTTTCATACACATATTTGGGTTTGTTTGTTTTTTCTATTTCTGTGAAGAATGTCATTGGTATTTTGATAAGGATTGCATTGGATCTGTAGATTGCTTTGGGAGATATGGTCTTTTAACAATGTTAAGTTTTTCAATACATCAGAATAAGCTATCCTTCCATTTATTTGTGTTCTTTCAAATTTTAGCCATCAGTGTTACATAGTTTTTGCTGCAGAAATCTTTACTTCTTTGACTAAATTTATTCCTATGTATTTTGTTCATTTATTGGTGTAGCTATTATGAATGATATTACTTTTTAAATTTTTTTTCAGAGAGTTTGTTATTGGTGTATAAAAATATTATGGATTTTTTGTATGTTGTTTTTGTATCCTGCACCTTTATTGAATTTATCAGTTCTAATAACTTTTTGGTGGAGTCTTTAGGTATTTCTATATATAAGATCATGCCATCTGCAATCAGGGACAATTTGACATCCTCCTTTCAAATCTGAATTCCCTTTATTTATTTATTTATTTATTTATTTTTTGCCTAATTGCTTAGGCTAGGACTTCAGTTCTATATTGAATGAGAGTGGTGAAAGTAGACATCCATGTTACAATTCTCAAAGAAAACAGTTTTAGCTTTTCCCTATTTGATATGATGGTAGTAATGGGTTTGTCCTATAGGGTCTTTATTGTGTTAAGATACATTTCTTTTATCCCTAATTTGTTGTGAGGTTTTATAATGAAGAGATATTAAATGTTGTCAAAAGCTTTTTCTGCATCTGTTGATATAATCCTTATAATTTTTGTCCTTCATTCTGTTGATGTGATGTATCATGTTTATTGACTTGTGTGTGTTGGACCATCTTTTGTCCCTGGAATAAATTCAATTTCATCATGGTGTGTTATATTTTTGATGTGCTGGTAAATTTGGTTTGGTAGTATTTTGACAAAGACTTTTATGTCTATGTTCATCAGGAATATTGGCTTGTAGTTTTCTTTGGTTTTGGTATCAGGATAATGATAGCCTTACAGAATGAGTCTGGAAGAATTCCTTCCCTTTCAATTTTTTGGAACAGTTTGAGAACTAGTATTAATTATTTCTTTAAATTGTGGACCATTTCACAAGTAATGTCATCAGTCCTGGTCTTTTCTTTGTTGGGAGACACTTTTTATCACTGATTTGATCTCAATACTCATTATTGGTCTGTTCAGGTTTTCTGTTTCTTCCTAGTTCAATCTTAGTAGGTTGTATGCATCCAGGAATTTATCCATTTCCTCTTGGTTTTCCAACTTGTAGTATAGTTGTTCATTATAGTCTCTTATGATTCTTTGTATTTTTGTGGTAACCATTGCAATGTCTTTTGTTTGTTTCTGATTTTATTTACTTAGTTTGTTCTCTCTTTTTTTTTTCTTGATCTAGTGAAAAGTTTGTCAATTTTAACCATCTATTCACAAAAACAACTTTTCTTTTTGTTAATCTTTTGCATGCTTATCTCTATTTTATTTATTTCTGTTTGTATCTTTATGTTTTTCCTTCTCCTGATTTTGGATTTGGTTTGTTCTTGATTTTCTGGATCTTTGAGGTGCACAAAGATATTTGAAGTTTTTTAATATAGGCTTTTATTGCTATGCACATCCTTTTTCTATATTCTTTAGGTTTTAGTTTTTTGTTTCTATTTTCATTGGCTTTAGGAAAATCTTTAATTTCCTTCTTAATTTGTTCATTGACTCATTGGTCATTCAAGAGAATGTTGTGTAATTTCCATGTGTTTGTGAACTTTCTGAAGTTCCTCTTATTATTAATTTTTTGTTTTATTCCATTGTGGTCAGAAAAGATGCTCAACAGGATTTCAGTTTTTAAAATTTTTTGAGACTTATGTTGTGGCTTAACATGTGGTCTATCAAGGATAATGTACCACATGCTGATGAAAAGAATGTATATTTTGCAGCTGTTAGATGAAATGTTCTATAAATATTGGTCCATTTGGTCGTAGTGCTACAGGTCCATTTAATCCTTACTGCTGTTTAAATCCAACTTTTCTTTATTTATTTTCTATCTAAATGATCTGTCCAGTGCTGAGAGTAAGATGCTAAAGTTCCCATCTACTACTGTATTGGGATCTGCCTCTCTCTTTTGATCTAATAATTTTAGCCTTATATATCTGGTTGCTCCAGTGCTGGGTGCACACATCTTTATATAGGTTGTTATATCCTCTTACCACATTGATTCCTTTATGATATAATGATCTTCTTTGTCTCTTTTTTACAGTTTCTGACTAAAGTTCATTTTGTCTGATATAAGTAGAGCTACTCCTGATTGTTTTTGGTTTTCATCTTCATGGGATATCTTTTCCCATTTATTCACTTTCAGTCCACGTGTGTCTTTATAGTAAAATAAGTGTCTTGTAAACAGCAGGTACTTAATGGATCTTGTTTTTTAAAATAGTCTTGTTGGGTCTGTACAGTTTATAGTTGGGCATTGTTGTTTTAAATAGCAAATTTTCTGAGCATCTTTTCTTATTTACCATTTTACTCATTACTGCTTTAGCTCAGAAGACAAATCTTTATTTCTCAGTGATTTCTGTAATTATCCCATATTTTTAATAATAATTGTTTTAGTCCAGCAATACTGTTATCAGGGAACAGTCAGAAAGTGTCTTAAATATAATTTTTAAAGTCCTTATTTCCTTAAAATATGTGCTATTTCCTTAAATTATCAGAATTTAAGAAAATACTTTATCCTAAAGACAAAAAGGCAACGTTAAGAAATAACACACAACAATTTTTTTTTTTTTTTTTTTTGAGTTGGAGTCTCACTCCATGGTCCAGGCTGGAATGCAGTGGCATGCTCATGGCCACCTTAGCATCAACCTACTGGGCTCCAGCGATCCCTTCACCTCAGCATTCCAAGTAGCCAGAACTACAGGTGCGCACTACCAAGCCTGGCTAACTTTTAAAATTTATCTTAGAGACAGGTCTCACCAAGTTGCCCGCGCTGGTCTCAAACCCACAGTCAGGCAATCCAACTCGCCTTGGTCTCCCAAAGTGCTGGGATTACAGGCTGAGCTACCAAGCCTGGACCACAACAAACTTTTAATACTAGCATCATTTTAGGAACTGAAAGTATGACAGAGAACCAATTTCTCAAATCCAATTCTCACCTTTGATTTAAGAAGATTTCTCAAAATGAATTAAGTAGATTTCTCAAAAGAAATTATGAGTTTATAATGAAACATCGATTTGAGTTTTTATTTTCCTTAAATGATCTGACATCTGTATCTTCTCTCTCCCAGAGGAAAAAAAAATTCTGGTTCTCAATAACATCGACATAATTACTCAATTGATTTATACTTCAATGCATACAGTAGCTTCAAAATTAAAATAACGATCCTATCACCAACAATACTTCTACTAAAAGCAGGTTAATAATTTTTGGCAAGTTTCTCTTTTTTAATGCTTCTGGCTCATTCCATTGGGATGTATGCTAAATTACTATATTTTAAAGTCATGTTAAATAGTTCCTCTTAGAGGCTTCCAAATCAGTACACAGAATGTATTGTTTTATTATGTTTTATCAAAAAAAACCCAGCTAATGTTACTTTTTAAATCATTTATAATATTTTTGGTTTTCAGTGTAAATATATATTGGGCAAGATGTACTCAGAGATGTCTAGCGTCTGCATAAGGGTCACCATTATAATTTTATTCTTAAATGTATCCTTACATTGTTTTTATACATTTTTCTTCCCCTCACTCTTTTCAGTTAAAAACATTCTGAAATAACTTTATTGTAGTATTGGTAGATAGTCATAATTCCCTTTTACAGTTTCATAGTTCTCTAGCGGATGTAGCATAGTTTTTCAACCAGTCTCTTACTGATGGATATTCAGATTGTTACAATCTTTGCAAATTGTAACAGTCTCTCAGTGAATAGTCTTATAAATAACTTTGTGTTTGTGCAACGTATCTCTGGAAGAGATTCCAGAAGACCAAAGTGTAAAATGTATAATTTGCCTTAAATTGTTGTGTATTCTTTCATAAGAGTTGTATCAGTTTGCATTTCCACCAACAATGTATTAAAGTGCTTTTTTCCCCCAGTACAACCAACAGAGTGTCTTGCCCAATTTTTAAATTATCTTTTGCCAATCTTATACGTGAGAAATGGTATCTCAGTGTAGTTTAATTTGGATTTATTTATTTATTGTTTTTATTCTTTGAGTTGGAGTCTCACTCTGTCACCCAGACTGGAGGGCAGTGGCACACTCCCGGCCACCATATCCTTGACCTGCTGGGGTCCTGTGATTCTTCTGCCTCAGTCTTCCAAGTAACGGTAACTGCAGGCACGCGCTACCACACCCATCTAATTTTTGATTTATTGTAGTGATGAGGTCTTACCAAGTTGCCCGAGTGGGTCTCGAACCCGTGGGCTCAGTCAGTGCTCTCGGCTCAGCCTCCCAACGTGCTGGAATTACAGGCTGAGCCACCAAGCCTGGGTTTTATTTTTTTATGAGTGAGTTTTGACTTCTATATCAAATACTACTGTTTTCAAAAAAATTAGAACACTTGAAAAGTATTTTGTGAAAAGTACAAAGAAAACAACATACTATACATATTTTATTATTTTAATATTGGAAGTTTAACACATTCAATTTGGATTATTGCAATTAAATTATGTAAGAAAATAAGACGGACATGATTCTGAAAATAAACGTCTGAAGTTAAATATTTCAGTTTTGAAATATTTCTATGACATTTGAATCACAGAAACTATGCAAAACAAATAATCCTCACATTGATAAGCAATAACTTATTGTTATTACACAGTTTATGATATAAACTTTTATAAAGGACTAAGATGTCTCGAGGAGAAAGTAAAGCCTATAAATGATCTTGTAATTGCATTTGTGTTTTTTTATATAGTAGGTTAAGATTTGATAGAATACAGGAGCTAAATGTATTCTACTTCATGTCATAGCTCAAGACTAATGCCAGTTTAAAGAAAAACGTCCTTCCCTAATAAGAGCAAAGATGATGAATTCTGGCCCTTATTCTTGGAATATTTGGGGTTTTCCTATGTTTCCTGGGAGTATTTCTAAATATATTTGAATACCTCATTTGGATTGAACAGAGCAAATCCTAAGGCTGTCTTATTAATGTGGCATCAGCAATTGTTGTCCTCTTCAAGAAATATGTTTTCCTTGGAAGAGAAAATATTAAAGAAAGGATTATGGGAAATGATTCCTGCCAATTAATTCTTAGTTATTTTCTTTCCTTTCAGCACCTTCCCTGATAGGTGTGGTAAGGAAGGACTGGGCATCCCAAAATAGCATTGCCCTATCATGGCAAGCACCTGCTTTTTCCAATGGAGCCATTCTGGACTACGAGATCAAGTACTATGAGAAAGTAGGTCTTATTTGGAGCTTTGTAAAAAACTACATATAAATACATACAGTTGTATATATTGAGCATGCTGTTATACTATAGTATTTTGTTTTAATACCTGTTCTTCAGCTTAACCTCATGCTGTTTCCTTAAGTCCTCTCTAAATTACTGTTGTGCTTCCTAATTCTTATTAATTTATCTGGTATTATGTCAGAATAAAGTAGACACAAGATGTTCAGCTCTGTCATGACCTCCTCTAGGGAGTGTTACAATACCATATGACAGTAGTGATTCCTTCAGCTTACAGCTTGGTTACTGTAGCATTGTTTCTAAAATTCAATTGGAAAGACATTTTAATATTGAATTACTGTAACCTAACGTGAATTTGTTTAGCACATATTCTTTGCCAGTGAGTTTAAAGGTACAATCCACTATAATTTGGAAAGCATAATTTAAGGGGTAAATGGAAATAGCTTATGAATTAAACATTTCCTTTACATCCATTTCAGTTTTTTTATTTTATAAGAAGCTAGCAAGACAAATTTGGTTGCTAAATCGACTGTTAGCCATTACTTCCATTTTTGTCTCTTAATATTGTTCTCAATTATTATACTTTGCCAAATTATATTATTCCTTATTGTGCTCATGTTCTTTCTTTATGCTTTTTTCCTCCATTCTTCACCATCCTGATGTTCTTGACATCAGTATTACTGAGACCACATAGTCAGTTCTGGTATGTCTCATTGCACCAATATTAATCCTAGAATTTTGACAAAGGGAACATTGAATTTTTAATCATTTAATATAAAAATCATCTGGGCATGATGGCTCATGCCTGCAGTCCTAGCATTTTGGGAGACATTTTGGTAGGAGGATACCTTGAGCCCAAAGGTTTGAGACCAGCCTAGGCAACATAGCGGGACTTCATCTCTACAAAAAACATCAAAAAATTAGCTGAGTGTGGTGGCACACACTTATCATCCCAGTTACTCAGAAGGCTGAGGCAAAAGGATTGCCTGAGCCCTAGAGCTCATGGCTGCAGTGAGCTGTGATTGTGCCACTGCACTCCAGCCTGGGTGACAGAGTGAGATCCTGCCACACACAAAATAATAATAATAATAATGTAAAAATTATATATAATTTTTCAGAAAGTCTTACATTTCTGTAAATTAGTCTTACTAGAAGTAAAAAAACATGATAAAGAAATTCAGGTTTTTTTCTGAGGAAATATAAGCCAAGAGGAGAAATACAATTCTACTGTCTTAGTTTGTTTTGAGACTTATAACAGAATGCCACAAGCTGAATCATGTATAATAAGTAGAAATTTATTGGTTCGTGGTTCTGGAAGCTGGGAAGTCCAAGATAAAGGGACTGTCATCTGGTGAGGGACTTCTTGGTTAGTCTCCCATGGTGGAAGGACAAAGAGAGGATAAAAGAAAGGCAAAAGGAAACCAAACTCATCCTTTTATAAGAAACCCACTCCTGTAATAATGAACGCACTCCAATAATAACAGCACCAAGCCCACCTATGAGGGCAAAGCCTTCATGGCCTAATCAAGTCTTAAGGAGTCCATCTCTTGATACTGTTATGATGGCAATTAAATATCAACATGAACTTGGGAGGGGACAAACATTCAAACCATAGCACATGCCTTTCTCCTACTGCTTCTAAATAAATGGAGGTTTGATAAGGGGAGAAGTAACTTTGTAGCATAGCTATATCCATTTTTGTCACTCTGGTAATTTCAGCATTACATAGCCAGTGAAAACTCTCATTATCATTAAATGACAGATAAATTCATAGCCTAAGAAAGGAGAAATTTACTGAATTTAAATTGGATTACAGAGTCTGCAAATTAGCCTGGTCAAGATATACTCAGACATCTGTTGGGTTAGCCTATTAAGTGTTATAACATGTAGCATGTTGTCAGAAGAGAAAATATATCTTCTATGGGTTTAAATAGATCTCCATGCACTCAAAATTTCTAACTATTTAAGAAGCAATAAATACACATATATAAACAACCTTTTAGAATTAAAATATTTCTATTTAATAAGGGTTATATTTCACATACAGAAAACCACTACCAGCCGGGTTCAGTGGCTCAGCCTGTAATCCCGTGCCTTTGGGAGGCTGAGGTGAGTGGATTGCCTGAGCCCGCGGGTTCGAGACCCACCTGGGCAGCAAGACCTCATCTCTACAATAAATCAAAAAAATCAGCCGGGCGTGGTAGCGCATGCCTGTAATTCCGGCTACTTGGAAGGCTGAGGTGAAAGGATCGCCGGAGTCCAGCAGGTCGAGGCTGCGGTGGCCGGGAGCGGCCACAGCACTCCAGTCTGGGCGACAGAGTGAGACTTCAACTCAAAAAAAAAAAAAAAAGAAAAGAAAACCACTACCTCCTTTTATAGTCACTTATATCTTATTTGGTTGCAGATGAAAGTAACTTGGAATATTTGCAAATATGGAAAAATAATACAGATTAAACATTCATTAAATCAGAATTTTAGAAATAAATAAGATTCTAAAAGATAGTAATTAGCATTATATTCATGTTTATCCTTAGATGTACAACATTTGGCTTTATTACATAAGTTTTATTTTAATGATGAAATTGGTAATGTCATAAAGAGATTTATCTTGTAAAAAAAATGACAATAATCCAATGCTAATAGATTAAACATGGAGTTGAAAGCCAGGGATTTCTAATTTATTTTCTGATTCTGCCTCTCATTATGCTTGTGGCTAGGAAAAAAGGCAATTAATCTCCCTATGTTTCAGACTTCACATTTGTAAAATGCAAACAAAGATATCAACTCTTTTGGTGGTTGTAGAGATTAATTATAAATAGACCTAAAGATGAATAGCAAGAAATCAAGTATTAAAAATTATTTAAGCAAGCATTAAATAAACATTTGGCAAATAACATAACATGGAATAAAACACAATAGCATGGGAATTAAGTACAAACAAAATTTAAAATGATTATTCTTTTATGTATAAATACATAATGTATAGGCAACCAATCAAAGATGTTAGGACATCCAAACCTTTCAGAAAAAGTGAGAGATAATTGGCAGCCTTAAAGCTTTTTCCTACAATGACTTCAAATTCTAACTATTTTACATATCTGCATCTATGACATGATTTCTCATCCCAAGCAGAGATTTATATAATAACTTATAACTAGAGCAATTTACAATAGAACTTAGTTAAGTTTTCTTCATTTGGGATCTAAATATTGTTCAACAAAAACAGCAAACTACAAAGAAGTATATATTACATATAGTCCCACTTTTGGAACACAAATATTCCCTGTGTATATATTTTTGTGATTATATAAGTATACAGAAATATAGAACAGGAATGGCAACAGGTCGCTTCAGGTGTTGCTTATTTTGAAGTATGGAAGGCTGAGGTATTTAGACAGACACAGAATAGAAGGGGAGGTAGCAAGTATAGATAAATATGGATGGATAGATGGACGGATGAATGAGTGAATGGGTGGAAGAATGGATTCTAAGTAGCTTTAGTATTTGTCTTTTGTAACTGTCTGCCCAAAAGCAGATTCTGAGGCAAGTATTAGTAAGTGATTAATTAAGAAAGCTCCCAGGAGAACTGGTAAGAGAATTGGGGCAGTAGGACTGTGAAGCAGAGCGACAATCAAAATCAGTGTGACCAAGGACAGTTCTGTCTTCTAAATAACATCTCAGAGTTCATCTTATGGAGACGAAGAAGCCTGGCTGCTCTCATCTGGCTCCAATCAATCATTGGCTACAGGCTTTAGTGGAAGTATATACATAAGGTGCAGAAGAGAATCATTGGCACTTCTAGTTCTTCCAGTGTCTCCAATAGCCAAGTTCAGGTTTTAATGAAGGATACAGGTACAAGCCCTTAAAAAAAGACACACAGCACTTGGGGGATGGGGAAAGGAACCAGTAAGGTGATCCAAAGTGATTTGCTGGAACACCAGCTGTTAACTAGCGTAGCTAAATTTCAAGGAACTATTGGAGAATTAATCTTTGGCTCATTGTAACATTCATATTATCTTCAGTCTCTAATATTGGTGCCATGGCATCTTAAACCTTATATTTCCTTTTAATCAAAGTTATTCTGTATTGCTCTACCCATAATTGGTCCACAAATAATGTTTCAGCATTCTCCGAAGAATTCATGCTGTTTTATTAAGTTCTCATTGTTTTAAGAACATTATTCTATAAATCAAAAGAGTAGTTAAGCTGCTTGGAATGTGATGTGTCTATAAACATCTGAGGTTAAGCAACATATTGTTACTACCAGTGACTTTCTCTTTTTCTTAATGTGATATATCAGAAGAAAGCACTGGCCTGGGTGCTTGAAGATTTGAGTCTGGCTCATAGCTTAACTTTCTTGGTTCTATTTTTTCATCTGTAAAATAAGGTTCTAGAATAATAATCTCTTACAGTTCTGGCTATTTTTAAATGCTAATGTGTTTGTGTCTATATTGTTATATTGATAAGTTACTCCACTGTTAGCCTATCCCTCACATAACTGTAGTTTTTATTGAACTCTTCTAAAATTCTATATACAGACATACATACACACACATACATGTTTTTTAAATACTTCCCCATAGGGAGCAGTTTTCTTCACATGTGCTATTTTTGCCTCCCATGTGTGTGTATGTATGTGTATGCCTATATTTGTGTGTTTGTGAGTTTATTAAGAGTGGCATATGGGAAAGGAAACATATTACTTTGTTGGTTATAATTAATTTGATAGTTTCTATTCAGTTAATTATGCTCCCCAATTCTTAATTATTTTTTATTTCCATACTCAAAAAGTATTTAATTTTTCTTTAATTCAAGTGAATATAGCTTCAGTGTGGAAAGGCACTTTGAAATAATAAGGGAAGCTAAATATATTACAAAAAATTTTCTACTTTCCTATTTACTTACAAACTTTACTTAGAATGAGGGAACTAAGACATCTTGGGCTCCCGGTTTCTCAGTCTTCAACTTCATAATGGTGCGAGCACTCTTGA